AGAGAGAGAGAGAGAGAGAGAGAGAGAGAGAGAGAGAGAGAGAGAGAGAGGTGCATTGGCTCATTAAGTAGGAAACCTGTGTTGATATTTGAATGAAATAAAAGAATAAAATAACAGGTGATACTTGTACTGACCAACTAGCCAGTCAACTAGACAAATAATTTGGAATAAATACGACATCTATAATGTACAGCAGCATGGTGGTAGTAGGCGGGTGGTTAGTCTGTGAGTGTACAAGTGCTGAGCAAAACCTATACATTGACAAAAATCTGAATCTCCAAGACAAGCTCTAGAAGTGTATGGTTAGGAAGCATGTTACACAGTAGGAAGGCTCTCCCATTTCGCATCATCACAACTCACCTCCATCCAGTGTTTTTCCATATGTTATAGACATTTCTCGAGCAATAGCACTTCATCCTTATTAGATTTCATGCTTATTTTAAACTGTTCAATATGGAGTTGTTGCAAACAGATAGGAGAAACGGCCGTGTAAGTGCATGGGAAATTTCTCAATGTTCGTGTATTCCGCTTTCAATGTTGTGGTATGAGACCATTTGCACATTTTCCTTTACATTCACCCTTTCGATCGAGATTAAAAAGCCCCAGCAGCCACAGAAGAAGTTCTGGGAGGCATTGAATGCAAGGAAGCTAAGAAAAAAATCATACCACTGAACACGAAAAAAAGAAATCCTTTGATATAAGGGTGTGGTTTCTATAAGGTTGCAACCTTAAACAATCCAATGAAGGCGCACCTCCAAATTTTATTCTAACACGTAATTTTGGTGTAAAAAATTCTTAAGATTATCTTAAAATCTATTTTCATATCTAATTATAAAATATGAAACTCCAAAAATTGTTAAAATCAAGTAGATCTATAAACATATGAAAATTTTGAAAATGGACGGTCTAGATAATGTGTTGCAAGATGCACTATTTTAGGGACTCAAAATCTTCCTTTTTTTTCATATTTATATATCTCAATGTCGAGCTGATCAATTAGAGGGTTTTTCAACATTAAAACAACCTTTTCTGATGGATTTTTTACGTGCATCTATAATTCTACATTTTAAGGTTGCAACCTTGTATAAACTTTTTCCTTGAAATAATTGGGTTCAAACCCAAGCTAAAGTCATCTCTGTCTATGAAACAAGTTGAATGATTTGAGCTGTTTGATATTTGTGAATTGAACAAGAAGGACAAATATCGAAGCACCCATAAAACAAAGATAATAAAGCCCCATGGGCTCATGGGCATTCAAAATCTGAATGAGGAGAAGGCCACATGTAGGAACTGCCATAAAAGTAAAAGCATGTCTTATAATATTTGCTTGTTAAGTAGGGAAATTTAGCGAGATCCTTTTGCACATATCCCTATTTTTTATTTACTACAAGACACATTGTTGGCTGTAATCAGATAAGGCAGAAAGCAGGGACTATCATTTCACACCACCTTGACATCTCTCCTTTTAAGCCCATTCAACTCTTTCCTTCTGATCATCTACTCTTTACTTTTGATCATCTTGTTATATTTACTTTGGTTCTTTTGAAAGTCAAGAAATAGCAAAGAATACGTCATCAAAAGATTATCTTGCTTAAGGTTTACTACTACTAGAATATAGGAAAACATTTATCCATTGTACAAACTAACAATTTTAACACCATTAGGCATTTCCCAGTGTGGCTTTGACCCTAAGTAGGCCAAACATATTTCCTACATAAAATGAGTGCCTAGTAAACACAAATCGACTTTGCTTCTAGAAATGATATCATTTTGATTGAGTATCTATATCCTAACCAAGTTACTTCCTCTTGGCAGAGTTTTTGTAAAATTAATTTTCCTCCCTATTAGAATCTTGTGGAAAAATGAGCCTTCTCTTTGGGACCCTAAAGAATGTGCAAGAAAGCCTTAGTGAGTATCTTCCTCAAGTCTTAAACTCCTCTAGAGCTTTGTCATTATGCATAACTCTCTAGTTTGGAAGCATGAAGAGACAAGTGAGTATCTTCTGCTAGTGTTAAAATCTCTATTTTTTATTTATTATAAGGCACATTGTTGGCTCCAATTGGAATAGGCAGAAAGTAGGCACTGTCATTTCACTCCACTTGGCATTCTAACCAAGTTACTTCCTCTTGGCGGAGTTTTGTAAAATTAATTTTCCTCCCTATTAGAATCTTGTGGAAAAATGTGCC